TTTTTTTTTTTGCTGCCGGACCTCGCTGCGCCTTGGGAGTAGGGCCCAAATCCGACCTCTTTTTTTATTTTCATGCATGTTGAATTCTCTGTGTTGTGGGGTGGGGGGAGCGTGCAGGAGGGGGCTGGATTATGGACTGTCCATTTACAGGGTGGGGGATGCATCAACTGTTGTGTCCCACCTGTGCTGGAGTGCCACGTCAGAGGGAGGACGAAGGAGCGCCAAGACAGAGGGAGAAGGGAGAACCGGCACATCAGAGGAGGAAGAGAGGATGGATGAGCGCCACGTCAGAGGAGTGAGGGAGGCGGCAGAAGGGAGGAAGGAGGGCGGCGAGGTGATGGAGGGGGCACGAGGAGAGAGGAGCGCCACATCAGAGGAAGGTGGAGGGAGGCGAAGAAAAAGAAGAAGAAAAAGAAGAGAAACAGAAAGAGAAAAACAGAAGAAAGAAGAAGAAGAAGAGTAAACGAAGGAGAAGCTCAGGACTAAATTTTGTATCCTGGACCAGTGTGCGCCGTCGATCGCTGGAGATCGACGGCCAAAATCCAAGAAAAAAAAAACCCTACAAAACAGGGCGTACTGGACCCCTAAAAAAAATGCGCCGACCGCCAAAATGGAAATTGGCACATTCGGAATAGGGTGGCAGCGCGAAAAAAAAAATGGCGGTTTTTTCTGCCTCGGTGCGATAGGCGCCCGGGTGCCTCCTCGGGGGGGTTGCCCGGCCGGGCACCCCGGGGGCCATTCCGGGCACAATGGGGTACCCCGGGCGCCCGGGGGTGGAAAGCTAGGTGGATAGGACAGTATGGAATTTTTTTCTCGAACTTATCACCTGAAACCTACCCCTCCCTTAGTTCCCCTGAATGTCACTTGACGTCAGCGTCCCTGAGCAATCCGGAGAGCGTTGCGTGTCTAAAAGTTGTGTGTTCGGCCCACCCCCGTGCCCCGAGTATCTGCTGAGCTGGCCAGCCCTGCACTGGATTATCCTCGCGTGCAGCGAGCTTTACAATCATTGGTTGATCCAGAGGCAATTTAACGACCGCCCCCAAGTGTCATCAGGAATTATTTTACGTCGCAGCAGGACGACGATCACAACCAATGATTTTCCCCTTCCGGTGCTTATTTAAAGACGCTCGGTCTCGTCTCCCTTAGGGCTGGCCTGCCCTTCAGTGCCCATCTAACAGCGCAGCAAGCCAAACAAAGGACAAGCAGCAAAGCATGCGTGCTATACTCCCGGTGGGTTGACATGGTGACCGTGACCCAGTGCTTCGTCCAGGGCCCTTCAGAAAGCTCCGCCCATCTTCTCCCAGATGCTCCACAAGAACATTGCCAACTGTCAAGGTTGAGCGCACTCGACACCTCACAATGAGAGGACTCTCAAGAAGGAACACACAACCTCACGGTAAGAAGTGTCGAAGAGGGTAGATAAGGTTAAGAGCAACGTACCTCAAATAGCTGCCCCCATCCACAGAGATAATCTCACCAGATGACCTGATGTCGATTGTGATGACCAGTCATTGCTTCGGCACAACCAGCATTACACGTCATTCCACCTCAGCACCAATCGCACATTACATAGTTCTCATCACACTGTCCAGACCCACATTACACCACGTGGTCTTCCTGGCGATCCCCTCACCTCCTAGGTCGCCACTCACTCGTCTTCGCCCTCCTCACTACACACCACTTACGACCCAACTCACCAAGCAGACCGCATGTATGTACCACATTAGGCAGAAGACAAGCGCCAAATGAGCGCAATTGTACCACAGCTCTGATACCAAATTGCAAGGAAGATGAGCAATAGCGAACTTTAACAATCAAACAGCACCATATACACAAGACCAGATAGTCGTGACCTCGAACCAACAGCAGAATTGCATCACAAGATTCACCAAATAAGAAGACATCAAGAGCTCATAATTGACAATGCTGGTCAGGTCTCATCAGCATCATCAATGAAGAACCAATGTTGATATCCTATCTGGCGCTCGGCGCCCAGACTACAGATGGCAGATCCTATCTAGCCTAGACTACAATGCCGAATGATGACGACAACAACTTTCCCGAAGTACGAGCATACAGCGACCAATGTCGCCCGCTTCCAGCACCAGGTATGTCTCTCGCCTTACTCACAACCTTGTTCCCCAACATACAGATGCCACTTGCACCCAAGGACCACCCTGCGCCACACCCAGCTTACAGCAGCGCAGCTCGGCTATGGCTGCCTGCTCCTCCCTGCTCGCCCTTGAGCGCGTGAGCGCGTGAGTGCCAGCGAGCTTCAGCGCAGCAGCGCTTGCGCAGCATGCAGCCAGCACCCGAATGCCAAATGCGGAGGCAGGCCCTTCGCTATATGGAAGTGGCCTGCCTGCGTTCAGTCCCAGGAAGCTTCCAGTAGGCCCCGGTAGCCTGAGGCCCAGCACGATCGAGAACAGGCCTTGGGCCTGAGGTGGTTGCATGCACCCAACTGCCTTTGGCCTGTGTTTGGCCCAGTACCCGTATCCAGCCCATGCACCCAACTACCTTTGGCCTGTGTTTGGCCCAGTACCCGTATCCAGCCCATGCACCCAACTGCCTTTGGCTTGTGTTTGGCCCAGTACCCGTATCCAGCCCAGGGCTTGCTTTCCATTCATTCACACAGGCGGCCCAAGGGCTGGGTTCTCTCACCCAACTGGCGCTGCGCAACTGCCTGAATTTTGTTAGTTGGGCAGTGGCCGAAATAGGGCCAGAGTGCCTCGTCGAGCCTGCCTTCACTTAGGGCGGCCGACTTGCTCCAAAATGGGGCCGAATGGGGCTCATAGAGGCAGTGGCCTCGCAGTGAGTGCGCGAGCACGTTTTCGACACCGCCATCTTTGGCGATTTTTCATTTTTTTTTGGCATAGCTAAATGCCCTGAAAATTTACAGATGCGTACCTCACATAATGCAAAACCCACTAAAAACATTTCAGAAAATAACAAAATTGTTTAAATCCCGAAATAAAGTGAAAACAAAAAGTAAAAAGTGAAAAAAAACATGGGCGAGCACGTTTTGACACCAGCATCTTTGGCGATTTTTAATTCTTATTTGGCTGAGCCAAATGACTTGAAACTTTATAGGCATTTACCTCACGGCATAGAGAACTCACAAAAAACAATTTAGGAAACATTCAAAACAAAAATTATTTTTAGGCCCCGAAATAATTTTTGGCGGGGGTCGAATGCCGTCCTTGCACCACCTTTTTTCTTTCTTTCTTTTTTCTTTTTTTTCTTAAGCGAAGTTTTTTTTTTGTTTTTGTTT